GGAAACAGGAAAGGGGAAGAGGGAGAAAAAGGGAGAAGGGACAAGGAGAGAAAAAGAATCACTGAAAGACAAATGGTTAAGACCATAAGCTAAGCAGGAGCATGCTAGGCAGGAGGCTGAGAATGTTGAATCTATACTTGAGCCTGGGCAGCTGTTAGGCCAGGCTCTGGGGAAAGAGGACTGACCCAGTTTGAGACCAGAGAGATGTCTGCAGAGTGGCATCTGGCTAGAGATGCCCAAGGATTGGGGAGAAAGGTGCCCAGCAGGGGTCTGTACTGAAGGTGTCTCTTTAGGGAGTTGTTTACTCAGGAACTCTAAAAGAGGATGGGTTTGATCATCTCCTCCCTGGCAGAAGAGAAGGGAACAGGGATGAAACCTTGAAGAGCTCAACTGCAAACCTAAGAGGGGAGAGGTTTGAGAAATCAGAACAGTGGGTGTGAGTTCTAGGCCATCCTGATCTACATAGTGAGTTCTAGGCCAGCCAGAGCTACATAGTGAGACCCTGATGAGAGAGAGTGAGTGAGAGAGAGAGAGAGAGAGAAGAGAATATGGAGGAGGAGGAAGGAGGAGAGAAGGAAGGAGGGAAAGCAAGCAGGAGAACCAAGAGCCAAGCCCCCATGAAAGGTAGGTGGGCTGGGGACTTGAGACCAGCAGTGGCTCCATAGTTGAGAGAGCACAGACGTGACTTCTGGGAACATTTTTACGGTATCGGGATGGACAAAACCAAATCGTGAAGAATAACTGATAACAAGACTCAGAGTACATGGTTCCTGCATTCAGAGTGCCAGAAGTTGAAGGGTTCCTTTAAATACCCATTGTAGTTAAAACAATAAAAAACACTTTTGTTTTTTGTTTTTTTAAAAAAAAAACAAGGTCTCATTATGTAGACCAGGCTGGCCTCAAACTCACAGATATCTACTTCCCTCTGCTGCCTACCTCCAGTGCTGAGATTAAGGGTGTGCATGACCACGCTTTGCTTCCTTTTTCTTCTTTTTAAATAAGGGTCTCACTATGTGGCCCAGGCTGGCATTGAACTTGCAATCCTTCTACCTCAGCCTCCTGAGTGATAGAATGAAAGGCATGTGCCTGACTCTAAAACAGGAAGCTTGGTAATGAAGAGTTAGCTTTACAGACAAGTGACACAGCACCAAGATGCTCAGGAAGTAGACAAGAACATTGATGGCTACAAGGAGGAGCAAACCTCTGAGGGAGAAGAGTCAGATGGATGTGGATGAGGTAGCCCTTCAGAGGACCAAGCTTCCCTGAGGCAGAAGACTGGAGATCCTTCTAAACAGAGTTCAGAGTTCAGCCTGCTCTAGCCGGGTGGCCTCACTTTTCTCTGGGGAGTAGGAGGTGAGGGCACCTGCTGAGGGTGGCTGGAGTACCATCAAATTTTCAAAGAGTAGGTGGTGGAAATACCTGCTATGGGGAGTGTACAAAGAAGTTGGCTGGGGAGGCTGAGGGATTTCCAGGTAGCATTAAGGCTGAAAATCCCTATCCTTAATGACTGCTCCCATGTTCTTGGTTAGGGGTTTTTTGTCTTTTGTAATATTGTAGCCCAGGTTGGCCTGGAACTCACTAAGAAGCCCAGGCTGGCCTAACTGTTCCATAATTACCCTGTCTCAGTCTCCTGAATGTTGGATTGCATATCTTTCTCTAGCAAATGTAGTAGCCATGAATTTAAGAGTTGAAGACTTTTTCTGGGTAGGTCAGGAAAAGGACCAGATGAAGAGATCTTCAGTAACTGTGTGAGATGAATGGCCTTGAAAAGGACAAGTTGCTGAGGCCCTCAGCTGGTGGTGTTTGTGGGGGACAGTCCCAGTGTTGTCTTGGTAAGGTGTTAAGAACAGGGCCCAAGAGGCATGGTGATTCATGCTTTTAACTCCAGCACTCAGGAGGCAGAGGCAGGTGGATCTCTGAGCTGCAGGCCAGCCAGGACTTCATCTTGAGACCTTATCATAAATTAAATAAATAAATAAATAAATAAATAAATAAATAATCAGGGGCAGTGGTTAGGGAAGAATTGTGGGATGAACTTCTTGAGTACCCAATAATGTGTGCGAGTGGGGGCCAAGGTGAAGGTCATTAGAGCCAAGCTGATTAGGATTGCTGACAGAGCTAGATGGGCCCTTCCATGAAGAAGCTGCTGCCCCATACAAGCAGCTAAATTCCAGTGCTGCCATCCTGCATGGATATGGCAAGGTGTTTGGAAGCCTGTCATAGCACTACTGACGCACTGCTGGACAGCCAGCGCTTTTGCATAAACACTTAGAGCCAGCTGGGTTTGAGAAGGATAAACTGCATCTATTTGGGAAGACTGTAAAGAAAACTGTCCAGTTGGCACATTCCAGGGTGAATGGGGTGGCGGGAAGGGAGGCAAAGTGTTCATTCTGAGGCTCCAAGCTAAAGCAGATGAACAAGAGAAGCAGCTGAGGCTTGAGCAGGGGTGATGGTTAGTTACCCTCTAGTGGTTCTGAGCTTAGTGGGCTACATGGCCTCAGGCAAGTTGCTGCCTACCTGTTCCTCAGCATCAGCCCAAACCAGAAGATAAGTACAGCCATGGGCTGGCATGCTCTGCAAGCTGAGGCCAAATGTGTCTGGGAAGTAACAGGAGATGGATCAGAACAGACTGGTAGGGTAGGGGCAGGCATACACCTGTGAACAGGATGGTGATAGGACCACCCCCCTTCCTCTCCTCCCAGTGACCAAGACAAAGAGAAGGGTCCTGGGATGAAATGAAGCTTCCAGAAGCAGATCAGTCTGCTAGCCTTCATTTTCTCCCTGAGCCCCAGATATCAATTCAGAAATTCAACCATCCACCTCTTCAGCCTCAGAACCTGAGTCTCTTTCCTCCTCCTGATCCCTCCCATTAATCCCCAAAATAAAGGAACCAAAAGTGCACACAAGTGTGAATCTTAAATTATTATTATTTCTTCCTGTCGCTTACACCCAAAGTGGGGGCAGGGATAGAGGAAGGGAACAGGAGAAGGGGGGATGCCTTCCCCCACTAAGGCACTGACTGGGAAAGCCACGAGTAGAGTGGAGGCCAACTGTCCCCACTCTTTGGGGCTAAGCCCCAAGTTTCTCCAGCCCTGGGCTCCCCCTATAACCTGAAATGCTAAGATGAGGCCCAGGGCACCTGACCTCCCTCCTAATATATTACATCATCACTTTTTAAATAGATACAGGGACTGGTCCCGCCACCCCTCCCTGTGTGACCCCCTCCCCATTGTTGGGGGTACCTGGGCAGCTGTGCAAATGGGCGTTGGGGGTACATGGGGGGAGAGCACCGGGCCCCTGAACCTGCCCCTATTAAGGAGGGGTAAGGGCCACCAGGCCAAGGAGGGGAAATAGTGCAAGGCAGAGCCCAGGCCGCAATGGGGGTCCAGCACCCAGCGAGGAAGGGGTAGGGGTGAAGATTCTTCCTCACCCCAGCAGAATTGGGTAGTTAAAAATGTGAAATTGAATTTCAACAAGACCAACAGAAGAGAGGCTATGTACAGAGTGACAGTGGACTTGATTCTAAGAGAAGTGATAGGCAAGGACCCAGGGAAGGTTCCCTTTCCCCCAGGTCCACAGCCTAACTTTCCCAGAGGCAAGTGAGTTGCTTGCCTAGGGCGTTGGCAAGGAGGCGCTGGATCTCAGGTCAGGATGGTTGGGTTAGCTCCCTACAAGACGTCGCTGGGGGGCGCTCGCCCTCGCAGGGTCTGGCCACCAGATGGCGCTGGCTCGCCTGCTCCCGCTAGGCTACCCCAACCCTTCACCCCCATCCCACACCCAGCGCCCGCCGGCCCCGGGGCTGCGTGAGTCAGGGGCAGCAGAACAGGCGGCTCCAACTCGCACCTGGGCGGGGAGGTGGGGAAAAGAGGGTAAGACGCCCGGCCCGCCCTGCCCTCTGGCCCCAGGGAGGGAGCGCCGGGAACAAGACATTCCCTGCCCCGGGACGCGGGAGGGGAGGAGGAGCGCTCTCCTAGCTGGGCGGATCCCCTCCCGCTGCCCCCAGGGGCAGGCGAGCCAATCAGGCCACCCCGCCCCTTCTCCTGGACCCCATGACTCAGCGTTGGAACAGGGTGGAGGGGGACTGGGATGGCTCCGTCCTTACAGGCCCAGTCCCCCTAGTCTCTAAAGCTTCCACCTTGGTTTCCCTACCTACCCAAGTCTTTGCTACCCCCTTTGCGTGATTTACTGCCAGGAAAAGGGAACAGAAACCAGGAAGGGGGGGGTCTCAGAAGGGAGGGGCAGTCTACCCCCTGACACAGCCAAAACCTAGGGGGAATGAGAGTGGGGCAAGGCTTTGGTCCCAAGCCCCAGCCCCCTAGAAACCCGCATAGCCGAAGTGGGACCCACAAATCAGAAATAGATTATTGCTTCTATTCCCCAGGAGTAGCTGGGGACAGGGACCGCACGTTTACAATAGAGCTGTAAATATATATATCACCCCAATCTGGAGAGCCTGTGCCCCAAAACCTCAGCTTGGGATTGGAATGAGGGCTCTGTGAGGAGGGACTGATTCTGACGCCAGGTCAGCATCTCTGACCCCAGCTCGGCTTGTCTATGTGCTCCCACTGCTTCGCAGGGGTATCCCTGGCTTTGTGCTGCTCCAGCCTGGCCATCTATCCCTCTTTAAGAGGACTCCATGGCACCTTCAGCCTGTGGTGTGGTGGGTGTCCCCTCATCATCATCATCATCAGGGGGCCCAGGGGTAGTGACTGGAGCCCCCGTGGGGGCCGATTGCTCCCAGAATCGAGCCAGAGAGAGGCGGAAGGTGTCCAGGTGGCCATTGGAGAGGTCAAGGCCAGCAGGGCAAGGGGTGGTGGTTGAAGGTGGTGGGTAGTGAGGTGGCGCATCATCCTTGCGGCGCCTCCGGGTGCGCACCTCCAGGCAGTTCTGGCCCTTGAGGTGGCGCTGCAGGTGGTCCTCCTTGGCGAAAGCCTTGTGGCACAGGTGGCACTCATAGGGCCGGTCCCCAGTGTGCAGGTGCATGTGGTTCTTGAGGTCATAGCTGTGCAGGAAGCGGGCTGGGCAGTGTGGGCATGAGTAGGGGCGCTCTCCTGTATGCTTCCGCATATGGATCTTCAGCTTGTCATTCCTGGTACAGGCAGGGACGAAGAGGGCAAACATTCAGGGCTGAGGACAGGACCCCAGGCCCATCCTGACCCTGCTCCCAAGCCTTGTCCCACCTGATCCTTCACTGTTTCCCCATTGCTGTCCTAGGATACCCCTTCTGACTGGCCTCTAGTTTAATGGGTTCAGTCACCATCCAGTCCTCTGCCTCAGTACACCCTTCTAGGACTCTAGATTCTTCATGACCACCCCTTTTTCCTGGTCTCTCCTCCCACTCCAGAACCCAGAAGAGAGCTGGGCCCCTACAACCATCTACTTTCCCTCAGATCTCATACCCACCCCCAAGCCCATCTTGGGCCCCATCCCCTGCCTGGTCCCAACTTGATACTCACCTGGTGAAGCGGACACCGCAGACCTCACAGGCAAAGGGCTTTTCACCTGTATGGGTCCTCATGTGGCGTGGCAGTTTGCCTGCTCCATGGATTATCTTGTGGCAGACTGGGCATTCCTGGGGCATCTGGGACCGACGTTTACGCACCAGCTTGTCTTGGCCATCCAGGCCTGGTGCCAGAGTATCCTGGTGCAGGGAACTAAGGTAGGCCATCAGGTCTGGATCAATGGCATCTTCATCTGACCCCAGCTCCTCTGGTGACAGTGGGGGCTCACTGCCCTGTGCTAGCCCATAGGCTGGGGGATATACCAACTCTTCCTCTTCTTCTTCGCCCTCATAGACCTCATAGTTCAGGGGTCCCTCAAGAGGTGAGGCAGCACCTGTGGGAGGGCTGTAGCTGTCCCCCAGCCCACTGCCCCCACTGTTGCCCACAACCTTTTCTTCCTCATAGGTCAAGGGATGGGTGGGCACTGTGGGCACCTCAGGGACCAGGTGGTTTGCTCGGGCCCCCTTGGTTTGCAGGAAAGCTTTCCGAGGCTTGCGGCTGCGTCTTGCAACAGGCCGAGGTGGTGGTGGTGGTGGTGGTAGGAGGGGCACCTGTGGAGGGCTGTCTTCACCATTGGGAACTCCTGAGGCTGAGGCTGTGGTGGTGGCGGTGGCAAAAGCTTCTAGGTACTGTCGGGCTCGCTCACAGTCATCCTCATCTGGGCTGGGAGCTTCCAGCCCACTGCCTTGTAGAATCTCCATGCAGGCAGCAATGACACATGGGATCTCCAGTAGCCGGGCAGCTTGGAGGACAGCTGGCATGTTGGCGCTGCTGGTGGTCAGTGTGGCTGTGTAGGCAAATTCGAGCAGGGCACCCAGGGCCTCGGGCCCTACAAAGTCCAGCTCACACACACCGGTCCCTGCTCCTCCAGCAGCTGTCCCACCACCTCCTGCTCCTGTCACAGCCCCACCACCACCCTCAGTGAAGAGCTTCTTGAAGTAGTGGCTGCAGGCAGCCAGCACAGCCCTGTGGGTGCGGTATTCAAGGCCTTGCGTCCTGATGGTGAGGTCGCATAGGTGGCCCAGCTGTCGCTGCTCATTGAGGCAGCTCAGGAGCTCACTGCTGTGGTCTGGGAATGGAATTCCAATCAGGTCATCTTCAGGGCTCCCCATCTTCTCCTGCAGGTCAAATAGAGGAGACCGTTAAGAGCATTTAGTACTGTAAGGGCCTGGGAAGATGTACCAACATTGGCTAACACTTATTGAAGGAGGGCCACAATGCTGGATGCTCTTCTAAGTACTTTATGACTATCCTCCATTTCACTGACAAGAAAACCGAGGTTCAGATAGATGAGGCAACTTTCCAGGTAAAGTGCAGAGTACAGTTCACACCTAGGCAGTAGACCCAGACTCCACATTCCTAATTCTTATGATATTCTGGTCTGCCTCTATGGAGTCCTGCCTTTCACTTTCTTTCTAGATACTTCTGCTTCTCCTCATCCTTTCAGAAGAAGCACTGGACTAGGAGGTAAGATACCAGAGTTCTGTTTAGACGTGAGGAAGAATTGGCTAGCTGGACATGGTGGTGCCTGCCTTTAATCTCAGCACTTCAGGAAGCAGAGGCAGTCAGCTCTCTATGAGTTTGAGGCCAACCTGCTCAACATAGTTCCAGGACAGCCAGGGCTTTAAAAAAAATTGGTTAAAGGATCCTTGTGTCTTTGGCCTGTGTCTTGGGTGTGGTAGCTATGCCTTTAAGTCCAGCACTCGGGAGGCAGAGGCAGGCAGATCTCTCTGAGTTCGAGGCTGGCCTGGTCTACATAGTGATTTCCAGGCCAGCTGGGGCTACAGGGAGACTCTGTCTCAAAAAGACCAAAAAAAAAAAAAAAAAAAAAAAAAAAAAAAAAAAAAAAAAAAAAAAAAAAAAAAAAGAAAGAAAGAAAAGAAAAGTTGTAAGGATCTGTGACAGACCCTCCCAAAGCTCTGCTAGATGCCAAGGAGAGAATTCAGATTGACATTAGACCAAAGTCTGCTGGAGGCCAGGCGTGGCTGGGTTGTTACACTTGTACAAATAAGAGGACACACTTCCAAGCATCACCCTCTTTCTCCTTGTGCTCCTCCCCCAGCCACCTCCCCCCCACCCAGCCACCAAAGGTTCATTCTTCCTTCCAGATACCCCCTTCCACAGGCTAAACGGGAAACAGCTTCCAACATCCCTTCCTCCCACATCTTCCTTCCCTCAGGAGCCAAGGAGCAGCTACCCTTTGCTGGGGTGTCACTGGTGCAGGTACTTCCTGCCCCCACACAGATAAGCATCATCCCCACACCCTCCCCCACTGCCAACAGGTCAAGTTCCAGTCCCACCCTGCCCTTCCCCCTCAACAACTCCATCCCTCCCTCCCCTTTCCATGCCTCTCCAGAAGGCTGTGAGTCTACCTCAGTACTTTCTCTATTCAGAAGCCAGCCTACCATCCACTGGTGGGGGTGGGCATGGGCCAACTCGAGTAAAATAGCTGAATAACCTTGAGCAAGTAATTGTGGGAAGGGGTAAGTTTGGCCCCAAACACAGTAGGGAGGGGCTCAGTCCATGGTCTGGCCTTCATTTTCTTAGTTAATACTAGAAGGGGTTGGGGTTGGGAAGGAAAGTCATAAGGACTCATCCCTTTAGCCCTGACATTTTGTGGGTCTAGAGCTACTGGGGACAGTGTTGGGCCTGGAAAGAGCTGGGCTCTGGAGTCAGCCAGCCTTGAGTTTGAATTCTTAGCTCCATGATCTTAGCAAGTGATTTTTATCTCTGAGGCTCTTTCCTCATCTGTAATACTGGATAATTCCAGCTGACCCCAGGGGTTGTGGTGGGGGGTAAGTGAGGCCAGGTGTGGCACAGTGCCTAACACACAGTAGGGGCTCACTTAGTGGTCTGGCCTCAGGGCAGATTCCACTAGCACAAAAGGCCCTTGCAGACAAAACTACTAGGAGACAGGTCTACCTCCTCCTCCCTCAAGGCACCCTGAAGGAGCCAGGTTACTAAGGAGCTACCTGACCTTGGACAAGTCACTTCCTTTCCCGAGGAGGCCTAGTCCTCATCTGTAAAATTAAAGGCTAGTTCCGATGATCCTTCAGGCAAGTATCAGTGATCCTCTCTGATACTTAGCTGATCAACGATGGCTATGGATGGGGAAAGCTGGTTTTTTGTTTTTTGTTTTTTTTGATGGAGGGGTAATAAGTTAAGGGACACAAATTTCCTCTTTAGGACATAAGAACTGCATTGTTTTGGTCTGCCTTTCTGCTTGTCAAGTTCACTGCTGGGCCAAAGCTCCTACATGGAAGCCCTAAGTGAGCAGCACCCACTTGTCTGTCTTGGCTTGGAAGCTATACCCAGGCATCAATCCTTATACAGCTCACCTGTTCCCACCATCGGTCCCCAAACCACTTCTCTTCCTGGGGGACCAAGCAGTCTGGGAGTTCCTTTTCTCCTAGTACTTTATAAATGACACAAATTGCCCCAGGACTTTAGAACAAATAAAAATCAGGTGGGCAGCAAGTGGCTGCCACATAAACAGCAGTGGGCATCCTCTTGGGCCCAAGTGCATCATGTCCCTCCTAAGGGGCATGGGTGGAGCTATCTTTGCTGACCATTGGTTTGGAGCTGGGCACCCACAGGCACGTGGTTAACCCCAACCCTCTTCCCTCTTTCCCTACCCACCCCACCCATTCCCATTGGTAAACCCGCCTTTCTCCTACCCCAGGGCTCATCTCTATGGCATCTTGGTATGGCAGCCCTGCTGATTTGCTGATCTTGCTGTCAGGTCACAGGCTCAGGGTGGTTCACCACCAACTCACAGAAGACTTAGGTAAGGGTGGGTATTTAACCCCTTAGGCCCAAATCCAATGCCCATGGCCACAAAGTAGCAAGGAAAGTTAGGAGAGGCAGAAGATACAAAGGAGAGGAGAGAGTGTTCAGTGTGGCTCTCCAGCTTCTGGGAAATCCCCTAGCCCTGGCACCCATGCCAACTGAAGTGCCACCTGGAACTATGCGGGTGCCAACCAGGCCAAGGGGGCACTCCTAGCTCCATCATCTGGGAGGGGTTGGTGGGGTGGAGGCCTCCCCCTTTCTGCCAGGGTGCGGCACTGGTGCCAGTATGCCCACTCCACCTTGGGCACCCTTCCCACATCTATATCCCAGAGGGCCCAGTCCCCTGACGCCCCATGCAGGCAACCCATCCCCACCCAGCCTGGCATGCCCCCTCTTGCTAAGACCTTGTGGGCATGGGTGTGTGTGGTGGTTGGGGGGGCAGTTGTGCCAGGGAACTGGGCAAGGTCTGCTTGGTCTGTTTGCCTAGTAGGGGAAAGAACTGGGGGCCCCGCCCCATTGTTCCCCTCTTTTCCACCACCCCCTAGGCTCCCCTCATTGTCAGGCCTGCTAGACCGGCCAAGCAGGTGGGCAGCTTTCTTGAAACTGGGCCCTGTGTCAAACCTGCCCCATGCATGGTGTGTGTGTGGGGGGAAGACTTGAGGGTGATGGGGAGGAAAGGTGGGAATCCTTATCTCCTACCAATCAGTGCCGAAGGGCACTTGCCAGAGTGTATCCACAACCAAGAAATCAAGAGGTAAGGGTACCAGCTCTGTCTTGGAAAGGCAAAGGCAACTAGAAGTCTTTGCAGCTGCTAACCTTAGGCAGTGTCCAGAGCAGGGCCAACCCTGCTGGCCTGAGCCAGCTGAAGGGCAGGCATAGGAGGCCCTGAATGGGGCAGCCAAGTAAAGCTGCCCCCCCTTCTCCCCATCCTGGGGATTAGGGGACTGAGGCTTAGTGTGGGGGGCAGCAGGCGGAACCAGGATTAGTGGCAGAGAAAATAGATTCATCTGAGACACAGGCACACAGACCCTCCCCCCGAACCCCCAAGGCTCCAAGGTCCCTTCTCCCAGCTCCACCAGGGAGCCTGGCCTGGCTTTTCCTAGGGCAGCAGCTTGGGGTGAGAGAGGGAGAGGACCAGGACCAGGTTGAAGCACCTTCTTGCTAGGGATGATAGAGACCTGAGGCTCTGCCCAGTGCTCCTGGTGTCTTGGCTGGTCACCCCTCCCCCTTCTTTCTCCTTTCTGCCCCCAACCCCCACCCCAACTCCAGCCTCAGGTTCTCTTCCTGTTTTTTTGGAACTAAGTTTGCACGAAGCTAGGGCTTTGGCCTGTGGCTGGACCAGAGGCATAGGGAAATTAGGCAGTCAGTCCAAAGTCCTCAGGAACCCAGGAATTCTTATTCCGTGGCTCCTCCATTCATTCTGAAGACTTCTGGGGCCCAAGAGCCATGGACATCTGAACTGCCCAGTTGGGGAGGTAGCCACATATCACTGGAGGATTGGGAGAGCTTCCACAAAGGCCAAGGGACAGCTCCTGGGCCCAAGGATGTAGGAGCACTTATGGAGCCCTCCCCTCCAGCCCCTCCAAGCTTCTGCATGCCTTCCCCATCCCCCATGTGGCGCTTCCCCCTCCTAACCTCACCACCCCCAGCACTCACACTTCCTGGGGGCCGAGGCGGGGAAGAGAGACCGCAAGCCACGAAGGGGGAAGGCAGTGAGGGGAGTTGGCTGCTTCCCAGTGCAGTGGGGGTTAAGCTCTCCCCAAGCCCCCCAATCCTGATGCAGGGGCTCTGGACTCCGAGAGACCTTGGTGCTCCTCCACATTTTCTTTTCACACACATCAGTTCTAGCACATAGTCCTTTAGCCCCATCAAGGAGAGTGGGCAGAGATAAAAGATGGCGGAGGAAGGAATGGGGCAGCCCTTTCCCGGCCTTTCCCCTCCACCATTGGGAACCCTTGCCCGTCAACCACTCCTTACTCAGTCTTTTTCTTGGACTTCTCTTTCCTCTTTTTGTCCCCTTCCTACCTTCAGTGGCCCTTGTCTGCCCTGCACAAGACTCACCTTTTGCTTCCCTTCCCTCAGTCCTTGTGGTCCTTATCTCCTCTCTACCACACCTGTCCTTAGGCCTCCTGCTAGGAACCATCTTCACCTGACCTTTCTTTCCCTTTCTCATCACTTCTCTCACTGAAGCCTCTCCAGAGCTCAACATTTGCCATGCTCTAAGCAGCCCTTTCTTCCTTTCAGGTCTGTGGGATGGAGAGGGCAAAGGAAACTTATCAAGGCCTAGCTTGTTCTGCAAGACCTGGTCTTGCCAAGAGATGGCTGAGTTTAGGGCATCCATATGCCTTCTGGAGGAAACAGAGAATCAAAATTTGGGAGCCAGCTGGGGAAAAGAGGTGACGGAGATGGGGTGTGCAGTGAGAGCGGATGTGGGGTAAGGGGGACAATGGGTGCCTCTCTGCCCGTCAGAGTTTCCAGCCCTGGAGCTGCTGGACTTCCGCCTCTACCCCCCAAGAGTACCCACCCTGAGCCAGGTAACTGTCCACTTAGGACAGACCCTGGTCATCAGGGTTCCCAGCAGGATCTGATTGGGCAGTGCCAGCTCTCCTGAGGGCCTGAGGAGACAGTACAAGGTGCCAGGGTCTACCTTGTGTCGCCCTCCCCCTAGTCATGTCTCTGGCTGGGTAACTGAGCTGGCTGGTAACCCCACACCCGCCTAGCTGCAGGCAGAAACCTGAGCCCCCCAGCCCCAGAAGACACCCCAGCCCGTCCCCGGAGCCCAGCTCCCTGCCAGCCTGTCCAACCTCCTGGCCTGGCCCAGCACTGCTCCAGTAGGCCCCTTCTTCTGCCTTTCTTGGTCCTCTTGGGTCCCTTAGACTCTTTGAAGCCTCCCCACACTCAGCGCCTCAGCTCCTGTTCCCTAAAGCCTCCAGTGCAATCTGGGCACCCTCTTCCTAGCCTGCTTTTCAGTCCTCCTCTGACCCTTGGCCAATTCTAGGCCTCCGAGCCTCCCCTGGGGCCTGAACTCCTGAGCCAGAGCAGGGCCTACTCACCTGAATGCTGAGGGGCCTTGCCGGCAACTCCTCCTGGCCCCTGGGGGCAGCACAGTCGGGAGGGGTGGGGGAGGGCTGGCTGGGGGGGGGGAGAGGGTAGGGTGGCTGTTCCCCGCTCCACCTCCCTCCTTCAAAGGGGCCGCCCACGACCTGGCCCAGCCCCTCCCCCCTACAGCCTTAACCCTCTGGGTGCTGTCCCCCTCCCCCCAGCTTGGAGGGAGGGGTTACAGGAGGGCTGGCAGCGTGGGAGAGGGCCCAGAGTCTCTGCCTGCAGTGCCCAAAGCCCCAGCTGTCCCCACCTCCGCCTGTCCTTACTCAGTCCTAAAAGGGGAAAAAGGTGAGGGGTAGGAAAGGTAGGAGCTGGGCCAGTCCAGGAGGACAGAGGTGAGGAGGAGCAATGGGAGAGGCTGCTGGAGGTGGGACCAGGAGAAGGAAGAAGGGAGGGGAGGGGATAGGAGGCAGCAATGGCCAAAGAGGGAGTCAGTGCCACGGATGACAGGTGCCCAGGTCCAAGCCCCTCAGGGTATGTGGCATTAAGGGACCCTAAGGAGGCCCTCCAGACCTTAGCAAGCCCCTTGCCCCTGCTGGGAGCTGTCCGAATTCTTACCCGGTACCAGGCTGGGGCCCTCAGGGGCTGGGCAAGGCAGTACCCGCCCTCCCCGTAGCCTCACCCCAAACCCACTCACATACCGCAGTTCCTGGCCAGGGCGCTAGCCCTGCCAACCAGGCCAGGGGGCAGCACTCATGCCAGACCCCAGTGGACAGGGGGACAGGGCTGGCTGGGGAGGGGGTAGACAGATGGGGGAAACTGTAGGCACCGAAAGAGGAAGGAGCTGGGAGGGGGCATCTGCTGGGAAGCGCCTAGCCCAACCCCTTGCGCAAGTCACTGCCACCCTGGCCGGTTGGGTGGGACCCGCCTGGGCCTGAGGGGCAACTCAGGAAGGCTCTGAGCCCAGATGGGTGGCCACAAAATGTCACGTAATTCCTAAGGTCCCTTATTGCTGGAATGAAGGGTACCTCAGTGTCCTCTGGACAGTAGGCCAGACCAAGTCCTGCTAGGCACAGAGAGAATCACAGAAATGTCCCCTAAGGTACCCCCTCCCTGCTACCCCCAACAGCTGCTGGCTCAATGCCGCTGGCCTGCTGCTCCTCACCAGCTCCCAGCCCGGTTGGCAGCTACCCACCAGGATGCTGGCAGTCCTGCCCTCCTCTCCCTCCTACCCCCCTGCTCTCAGTGCCCTATGCCAACTGTGGGACTTGGGTGGGGGAGGGTCACCCCTGTGCCTTGGTGCCAGGCAGGCAGGTCTAGGCCCCAGAGGTCCTACAGATAAGGCCCTGGACCCTGTCCTCGAGCCACCTCCTTAAGAAGCATATTGCTTAGGACCTATACAAGGAGAACCTAGACAGACGTATGAGCAGTTACTGAAGGTTCCACACCCCAAGGTGGGGGCCAGTGTCTCTACTGTCACCAGGTGCCAACCTCCCACAATTCCCCCTGCAAATGCTTGGGGCATCAAAGTCCCTACAATTCCTAAGAGCCCCAGTCCAATGCCTATAGCCTATGAGGGAGTAGGGTGGGGCTGCTCCCTGCCCTTTGATCCCTATAAAGGAAGGAACCAGCCTGGAGGGCAGGGGGCAGGGAAGGAGTTCATGGGGCCCCTCATTTCTCCTGCCAGGGGCATCAGAGCAGGGTGTGGGCATCTCTTGGGTGGGGCTCATCTTAAGGTGAGGATGTCTCAGCAGGGAAGATGGATGTCAGTCTTGGGCACATAATGTCATATAGTAATATAATGACAAAAATAAAGTGAAGAGGATGCAGGGGGTCCCCATGTTGCAACCCATCAAGTACTTTTACCTTCATCCAGAAACACTTCCAGACAGCCAAAGGAGGACTACAGGCAGACAGAGGAGGACTACAACTCCCAGTATGCACCACAATTGCTTTGTGCATATCTTGGGAGTTGTAGTTCCCTTGAGAAGCCCAGGGTTCTTCTCTTCCAAGAGCTTAGCTGGCTGATAAGATAGGGAGAGAAGAGGACCTGATCACAGATCCCTAAGTGAATCTATTTTTAAGAGGACTAGGTAAGAGGCTAGGAAGTCCCTGGTTGGGAGAGAAGACCCCCTTGGCTCCAGGCAAAGGAGGAAAGGAGGAAGGAAGGAGGAGAGGATGTCTGTTGAAAGGGGTATATGGGTGGGGAGGAGCTGGGGAGGGGGTGGAAACAGGAAGGAAATTGAAGCCAGAGACATGAGGTCGAAAGCAAGGGCTTGGGGGAGCCCCACTCTGAGGCCTGGCAGGGACTGGGAAGGCATTTCCCCTGTAGTTCTAGTAACCTGGGAGGCAGAAGAGGAATTAGTGATGTTAAGTGGTAGCAAATTGATGTGGAGAGTCACTGGCTCCATTTGCCTGCCATCAGCCCTCTTTTGTCAGAAGCACCCTTAACACTGGATTTCGTACAGGTATTTGCTGGCTAGGAAGCTCTGAAGGTTCTGGAACAGCTAAAATGCAGAAGGGTTTGGGGCATGCAAGGGCCAGGTCTGCTGCTAAGGGCCAGGTCTGCTGGTAAGCACAGTGAGAAGTGTGGGGTTAAGTTCAGGTGTGAGGTCAAGGTAAGGGCAGGGCAGAGACCATGACAGCTAGGAAGCCTCAGAAGAGAGGACTGAAGGGAGACCTATTATTCCTGCTTCCCACCTGGCTGAGGCAATGGGACAGAAAGAAGAGGGAAGCCTTCTCTGATCTCAGGTAGATTTCCCCTTGGATTTTAGCCTGTCAGCATAAAACACAGCATCTCAGAGAGCCAGATGGCAGCTAAATGTCTTTCCCTCATAGAGATGGAGGTCAGAGTTGGGCAGAGGACACTTTTTTCTGTTTCCCAAAATTCTGTGACAGATGCTGACAGGTCACAGCCAAGACGCCACCAAAGACCTGAGCCTGGCTAGGTGGTGGGGGTGGTGTCTTTCTTGTCCTCCAAGTCCTTGATGGTGGATCAGAGTTGCTCTCTCCCCTTCCCCCCAGTCCCCCAGGCCAGCCTTTGGCACCTGGCCTCTTGTATGTTGGCAGGACTGGGGGGGGGGGGGGCAGCGGAAGGAAACTTAAAACTGTCCGGGAAAAACGTCAAGTTTCCTCCC